TGCCACATGGCAAAGATAGGATGGTAAAATGCAGGATCGTGCAGTCCATTACCAGTACCAAAGACACCATGGGTAGTCGTCAACATGAACTTTGTGGTAGTAATTTCACGATCACAGCAAAACAAGGATTTATTGATGGTGGTGGTAGATCATTTCTTAAATACGACACATTTTATACCACCCTACAACTGAACGTTGGATGCATCTCATATTGACTTGTACTTCAAAGAAATCGTGAGATTGCACGGAATTCCCAGGACCATCACTTCTCATAGGTACGTCAAATTTCTGAGCCACTTCTAGAGGACCTTATGGAGGAAGTTAGGCACCAAAATCTAATTCAGTTCAAATAGAGATAGTAAACAAGAGCCTTGAGAATCATCTGAGTTGTTTTGTCGGAAAGAGTATCAAACAGTGGGACTTGATTCTAGCTCAAGTCAACTTTGCGTATAATAGATTGTCAGCCAAACTACGGAGTGCACTTCATTTGAGATTGTTTATTGGCGCAACCCGCTCACTCCACTTATGTTAGTAACAATCCTGCCAACATAAGATATTGGTGAGCATGATGAAGAATGGGTTCACGAGATTCAGAAATTCCATGAGAATATTGGGAAGGAGATCACTAGGCAAAACAGTAAATATCAGGCTCAAGCAAATAAAACTAAGAATAAAGTGACGTTTTAAAGACACCAAATGTGGATTTGACGGAACGAAAGATTTCCTTGAATATTCCATTTTGCAATGCTACAAACCAACAGCAACAACAAGAATAACAAAGCCTTAATACCACTACGTGGGGTCGTCTACATGAATCCTTTTCTCTCCATTGCGTCCTATTTAGTGTCATATTTTCATTTAGTTCATTTAGTGTCATATTTTCATTTAGTTCTAATACTATAAACCAAAAGGTTAAAAACAGTACAGAAGGGGGCCTACTCCGACAAAAGATTGGCATGGTCAAAACCAATAAAAGGGAAAAAAAAGTGTGAACTATCCACATTCCTAACAATGGGTTTTGTCATATAGAACATGTTGTTGAACCTTGTGGGGTGTCCTTATAATAGCTCACCGACCAATTTATCACCAATATAACTCGATGTCATGCAAGGTGTTCGATCGACGTAGGTGTTGTATTCGTACAACAAAACCATAATCACTGTGATTTTTCCTAGAAGGCTCAGTCAACATAAATTCATCCTAGAGAAGTGTTCTGTTCGAGTAATAAGTACTAATCAGACAACGTTGACAAGAACATCTAAAAACTGAAAATGTATTATAATGACCAGAAATAATTACACAGCAACATGTTGATTGTTCGAGCTAGAAAGGAAATCATCCAAATCAAATGACCCACGAAACAAACAGAAAAAAAAAAACCAAAGCCACTAAAGAATGACTCCACAAAATCAATTGTCCATAAAAAAAAGTGTAAATAGTCAACCCGAAGTTCGAGGGCATCTTCATGAATATCTGTCTGTGAGTCGAGCCCTCCAGCAACTTCAAGGATTTCCGATAGAATGGCTTATCCGACATAACTTCAGGATATGTTTGCATAACTTGAAGAAATTCTTCTATGAAACTGTCCTGTGAGGTACCAGCCTGAATTGTGCGCGCATCCATCGGTTTTGTTACTGTATTTTTGATGAAAACGGCTCCTTTTTTTCCTTTTATCCCTCTTGGCCGCTTTGACTTGCAATGGGGACTCTAGCTCCTGGTTTAGGCTGGATCCTTCACCTGACCCACTTACATGTTCGGTTTTCAAGTCCTCTGGTATGCTGGCAAACCCATGCTCACTTGAGGTGAACGCGTGCATGCCCGTCGCAACAATCTCACCAAACATACGGTCCAACTTATCCTCTAGGTCTGTCTCAATGTCACTTAATTTGAATTTCTAGGCGGCTAGCATTGCCTGCAACATACGAAAAAGTTTATTACTTAAAACATATTAGAGGGATAAATAATGGAAAAACAAGTCTTGAGGGGTTTGTTCATTACCTCCAATTTCTCAGTTCATCACTTTGAAGCATCAATAGTCCGCTTAATTAGATCCAACCCAAGCCTGTGGATCCCCGCTTTAGTTTCTTCCATAACCTCCAGTACTTTTTCAAATGATCCCACTTATTCTTAAATTTTAACCCGTCGTAGTTCCTTCCTGTCATTTGATTGAACTTTTTTGTAATATATTGTCACCTTTCTTTGTTAAAGTAGGTAGTGGGTCTATTTCCAAGCTCAATATCTTTAAGACAGAGATTGTAAAATATTATTGTGACTTCATTATCCCACAATGCTGATGAGGCGATTTCTTTGGTTTTTACCATTATGATACTAATAAAGAGAAGAAAAACAAAAATATGTTAGGTCAACCAAAAAAGAGAATACCATTAGCCAGAAGCACAACACCCCCAACCACCACCCCCCGACCAAACACACACCCATAGCCCCCCCCACAACCACACACACACACACCCATAGCTAACACTGCCTCCACAGCCACCAACAAGCTCATCACCCACAGCCACTAACACAGACTCCAGAGCCACCAACACACACACATCCACCACCAACCCACAAACCCTAGCCCAGCACAACAAGCCTCCACATGCCACCAACAAGCACATCACTCACACCCACACCTACCAACACAGCCTCTACAGCCACCAACAGGCAGATCACCCACATCCACCAACACAACCTCCACATGCCACCAACAAGCACATCACCCACACCGACACCCACCAACACAGCCTCCACAGCCACCAATAGGCACATCACCCACATCCACCAACACAGCCTCCACATGCCACCAACAAGCACAACACCCACAATCCAAACACAGCCTCCACACCCACCAACACACACTCACATCCACCACCAACCCAAGCCCAACACAACACACACCCAAAGCAACCAACAAGCACATCACCCACAGCCACCAACATAGACTCTACATGTCACCAACAAGCATAACACCCACAACCACCAACACACACAAACTCACATCCACCGCCAACCCACAAAACCAGGCCCAGCACAACTCACACCCAAAGCCACTAAAAACCACATCAGCCACAGCCTCCATATGCCACCAACAAGCACAACACCGACAGCCACCAACATAGCCTCTGCGTCATCCACACCCACTAACACAGCCTCCATAGCCACCAACACACTCACATCCACCACCAACCCACAAACCCAAGCCCAGCACAATAAGCCTCCAGATGCCATCAACAAGCACATCAACCACACTCACCAATACATCCTCCACATATGCTTCAAAGGTATTGTCTGACTCTGAAGCTGAGCAAGCACGGATGGAGAGAACTTCATATGCTTCAACAGTTCAAAATTTGATGTATGTGATGATTTGTATCAGGCCAGATATTGCATATGCAGTGAAAATGGTCAACAGGTACATGGACAATCCAGGAAGGCATCATTGGGAGTCGGTAAGATGGATTCATAGGTATTTGAGGGAACCAGTCAATGGGGTATCTTGCTATGAAAGTGCAGGGATCAGTCTACAGGGTTTTATAGATTCATATCTAACAGAAGATGTGGACCGTATGAGAAGAATAACGAGATATATCTTCATATTGGAGAAGACATCGATGAGTTGGATTTCCAGGTTACAGAAGAATGTTGCACTTTCAACAACGGGGTCGAATATCTTGCTATCAATGATCTTTAGCAAGGAGATGATTTTGCTACAGAATTTCATGGCATGATTAGGCATGGAGCAGGGAATTGGAAAACTCTACAGCCACAATATGAGTGTGGTTCATCATGCTAAGAACGTTATTTTTTATGCCAGGACGAAACATATTTAGCTAAGGTATCATTTCATTCGCTCTCTTCTAGAAGATGGGCACTTGTTCCTAGAGAAGATACAGTTCAGAATCCTGTGGATATGTTAACGAAGGTGACGACTGTTGAAAAACTGAAGTTGTGTTTGACTTTAGTTGAGTTTCACGAAGGTTAAAACCAGGGGTGAGTCACACCACGGTACGTGACTACAGTATGTGACTATGTAGGCAATTCAGATGGAGATGCAGATACAGAGGACTGGTGTCAGTGCATTTGTTTCCAAATAGTAGATTTTTATGATGTATGGAGACAAAGCAGGGAGCTAACATTTAGGCGTCGACTATGGTTGCTCAAACGCCCACTCGGCGCGGCTCACTGTGGAGTCGGCGCTTTGGTGTCGGCTTTGGGCGCTTATGTGCCCACATCCAGAGAAATCGGCGCCTATGTGCCCATTATTAGGCGTCGAACAAAGAGCTCGACACCTAGGAGCCCAAGACTAGGCGCCCAGGAGCCCAAGTCTAAGCGCCTAAGCGCCAGGGGCGATTTGCAAAATGGATTTTGGTTTTAATCCCAAATTCAAGCGACGAAAACTGTAGATTTGTTATTTCTTCCTTTGGTATTCTTCGACGAGAATCCTGGTGAAGGTGAGCGTTGAAAAGGTAGATTTCGGTGATTCGACGTGATTTTTTGTGTCGGATCGAAGAGGGTAGACTATGAAACGAGTTCTATAAGTTTTCTTTGTGTGTGGAGAGAAAACTTGTGTGTGTTCTTTGTAAAACCTTCTAAATTTCATAGTGAAAATTTCTGGTGATGTGGTTTCGTGGTTTTTTCCCGTTCTCGGGTTTTTTTCACATAAATTCTTGTGTGTTTTTCTGGTTGCCTTGAGTGTGCTTCTGTTTCAATTTTTGTTCTGGTTTTTATTGAATTTGTGTGATCTTGTTATTCCGTTGTGTGGTTTAGTTTCTAATTAATTCTAAACCTTGATAAAAATGAATATTTACTGTCATTTTTAATCAACCTCCCAAAGGCCCATTTTATAATTGTAAAAAAAGCCCCTGTTGAACAATGTCGGCACAAGCAAAAACAGATTATTTGAGAATTCTTGAAGGTCAAAGGCTAGATAAAAAGATAAAAGCAAACACCCAAAATAATAAGCTATAGAAATTTAAAAAAAAAGAACGGCTACATACCGACAACGAGTGGCTTGTCACAATAACGCCTTTCTCTTCTTCAATCCTATTCATTTGATAAATATAAAAATAAATTCACCGCTTAATTAAATCTGCATTGTGTTATCCAAGCACATTAACTTGGCCCCCACACAACAAAGAACAGCAATCACGAAAACATAACAGAATCATGCATATCTAGAATTAAATGATTGTAAAGATATTAAAAAAGTGTATTAAATTTCAAATATAGTGCATGAGTATTACGCTTCGAAAATATATAAAAGAGAAATACAATGAGGTTTGATTCCAGAAGAAAAGAATCCTAAGAAGGAGAAAATAATAATGAACAAATTGTAAAAGATTTCTGAGCTTAAAATAAGATAATTCGAAGCTTCTTACATGCCCTCTTATGGAAATTCATTCTGATCCTATTAACGTCTAGCTGGTGAAGCCTGTGTTCAAATTACAACTGCCACATTCATGCAATTAAACCCCTTTCTAATCCTACGCCATCCAATCCCTACTCATGTTCTTAATCTTGAAATACCAAACAACTATGACTGGCCTTTTGTATTCATGCGGCCGGCATAGTTACAGAAATTGCAAATTTATTGGACGTAGAGGAAAATAGTTGCAATAGGTTGCAAAAACGGCTAAGAATTGCAGTACTAGGGTAACAGTGGTAGCGTTGAAGCACATGTGCTGTTGTCGGAGGCCCATGTTGCTGTACCAGAAAACATTTGTGCTGCCGTAAAAAGAATACAATCATATGAATCTAGAACCTTTTAATTTTATCTTGTTGAAGCTATTGATATGCAGTTGGTCCTTTATCCAGCTCCCAAAATATGAGCACTCTTTTCAAGAGAAGAGTAAGATGCTCCAAAAAAAAATGGAGAAAAATAATTTATGAGTGCTGTGAAGGCAGAAAAGACAACCTCGGAAAAGCCCGTAACTTCATGGTTTATGTATATTACATTTTGTGCTAAAGTATTTACCATCCTCATTTACATGTTATATTTTATATAAAAAAAACAAATTTCATAGCAAAATCTGGGGAAAAATAAGAGCAATGGCCAACAAAATATCATATCACGTCTAAATTTAACCTAACGTCTATACAAACCAAACATACCACCTTCTAAGCTCGTTAAGAAAAGTAATTACTTTTTGCATAGAAATATAATCTTCTTCCATGATTTACTTCCCAATAGCCAGCAAAAACATAAGAGAACATGCTACTCCACCTCTAGACATTTGGTGATCGGCATCCCATTTAATGGCAGTTGGTGTCCTCAAAAGAGTATTTTCTTGAGAAATTTTGAGGAAACAGGGGTAGTCACAATCTGATATCAGCGTCTAACTCTGGTTTGTCCATTCTTTTTTGGGATTTTTGTTCATCAAAATCAAGAAAAGTAAAATACGATAAAAATATTGAGATATCCTATTTTTTCCAATCTATTTTTAATTAATAAAATGAGAACTTCATTACTTTGCATAGTCATGGACATAGTCCTACTTAAATCAAATCGAGAAAATTTTGATATCTAACCAATTTCTTTCTCAAATTGTTGAAGCTTTCATCTATATAAAAATATTATAAGATTACCATATATACTACATGTTTGAACTCTAATTATCTCACTACATCAAAAGTATGAAAATATTTCCGTAGTAGGTGAAAGTACTCATTCATGGTCACGGGTTTTAAGTTGCTCTGACAATATTTAGATTTTAAATTTTCTTTTATGTGCCACATATTAGAATTTTCTCCCCAATTCTTCGTTCTTTTTCCAACAAGTCTTTCCAAGGTATTTTTGCATTTCTTTTCTACTTTTATAGTCATCCATATCTTTCAATTAAAGCAATTTTCTAATTGTTTCAATTTATAAATTTGTTAATATCGAGCATAACATCAAATGTAGAAAGTCCAAACTTTACCATGTTGTAAGGGTATTTTAGTAATGTAAGAAAATAAATTATTGCAAATGTGTAGTATGTAGTAAAGTGCTTTTAAGAAATACAAAAATGATGAATATGTAAGGATAGAAGAAAAATGTATAACAACTTTAATAACTTATGACCAAAAGGACTTTCAAGAGATGAAAGAGTCATAATAGTCCACTTAAGGGTTGTTTGGTTGGAAGGATTTGCAACGTATTGTAATTCTTTTACAAGAATTATAAGAAATTATGTATTTGGTATGAAGAATTGCAAATACAATATAAAGTGTGAATAAATTTAAAGATCACGCCTTAGTTCATTTTGCTTGGGTTTAAAATTCGATTAATTTGTCTAAATTTAAATTACACCGTAAAATGCTCTCGGCAAGCTGCAACCCCCGCTAGCCGCACGTCGGCGCCATCTCCCCACCCCCTCCTGTCAGACCCCGTCAGCCGTCCACCGCTGCCATCTCCCCCCACCTCCGCCTAGCCACCACCCATCTCCCGTTAGCCATCCCCCGCCAACGCTAGCCATCTGCCGCAGCCGCCACCAGGTGTCTGCCACCACCACTGGCTTTTTGTCACCGCCGAACAAAAATATATATTTTGAAATACAATGTAATAATTGAAATTAAAAGAATAATAATAATAATAAATTGGAGGTGTTTATAGAAAGTGCATCCTATCCTAAAAAAACATATTACTCAATCGTTCACACGTCTCTTCATTCGTGCCATCGAAAGAGAGAGGGAGAAAGAGCGAAAGCAACAGAGGAGAGGAAGGAAGAAGGATTGAGTTTCGTGAACATGGAAGGAAAGTCGAGTGGCTCGGCACTGTGCATACGAAGGAATAGGAGGTAGTTGTGTCGTGCACGTGCACTGCCCTAGATTGAGTCGTGCAAAGGAAGAGGAGAGGGAAGAGGCGGCATCGAGGCTTACCTGGACCAAGCCGAAGCTAGAGAAGAGAAAGCAGAAAGCCGTGCTCGCGTGCGTATAGAGGAAGAAAAAGGAAATGGAGGCGGTGTGCTCTGGGTTGAGTTGAAGTCGAGGAGGAAGGGAGGAGGTGTGACCTTCAGCATTGTGCTCACATAGCGGGAAAAGGAGAGCTTGCGTCAAGTCAGGAACGAAGGGAGCTCGCGAGAGGATGTGTCGTATGAGCTTAAGCGGAGCCAAAGTTAAAGTTGAGTTTAATTAAATTTTTGATAAAATCTAATAGATAGATCAATCTCTCTCTCTCTCATTCATATATATATATATAGCTAGTTTTGCTCGTTCGTTTCGATCCTTTACGTCTTCATCTTCGGCTCTGGCTAGCGGAGGATTTCGTGTCATTGATCGTCTGCGCTGCGTCGTCGAGCCTTCGCGCTGCGTTCTTAGTGGTCGATCGACTGCTCAGCCACAGTTTCACTGCTCGACTGCTCGCGCACGGCTTGCGTTAATTTGCTGCAGTGCTTGTGTGAAGCACCCTAATAGCCTCAGGTTTTTCCTACACTACTGGCGTCTCCGTTGATAATCCCGCCAAACCCTCCTATGTTACAGTGGTCCACAAACGCAGCTCCTCTTTCCACCTCGCAGATAGTCCGGTATTCCCGCAGATTTACCATGATTCTGTTCCTGGAAATGGCGATTGCAATCTCATCAAAAAAATAGAAAAAAAGGCGGGCAAACCAACAATATTTTTCTCTGACGCTGAAATTTCAACTCGTGCAGAAAAATACAAATTTACACTAATTGGAAAGTTCCAATTAGGTTGCCTTAAGATGGAGATCATTGGTCGCCCTAATATGGAGATTATCAGGGAATTTTTTGAATATTTCAAATTAGTTGGGGCTTGGCTAGTGGGTCATTTCGACGGAAGGCATGTTATGATACAATTGAGCATAGAAGAAGATTACAAAAAGATTTTCTCAAAGAAATTCATCACAATCGAGGGCACACATATGAAATTGCTCAAATGGACCCCTAATTTTGATCTCAGTCAAGAACCCCATCTCATTATTATTTGGTTCTCATTATCTGAACTCAAGCTTCAATTCTTTGACTTACCTATCTTATATGCAATTGGGACTATCCTTCAAAAACCTTTACAGGTAGACTTACCTACAGTTCATTTCTCAAGGCCCTCTATTGCAAGGATTTAGATTGAAAGAGATATTACATAGAGATATTACATTACCAGATGTAGAAGAAGTCTGGCTTGGATCTGCTCACAATGGTTATTGGCAAAAAATTATTACGGAACAAAAACCTTACTACTGCAAGCAATGCAAGATGTTTGGACAACCGCAGGAGATACCCGCAGGAGAAATGTTTCAGATTGCACCCATAGTTGAGAACCAATAGTCAAAAGCAGGAACACACTATTAGTGCACTCCATGTGCCTGAACGCGCTACCAGCAAACCTGATGACAGTCAGCCTGAGGAGGGAATCACCACAAGACAGGAGTTGGTATCTACCTGTGGGATCTCTTCTCCTGACCATACTACAATGGATAATGTTCGAACCGAAAATCAGGACAATCCTACAGCTCCTATTCAGGAAGCATCAGGTGCAGAGGTAACAATTCACACTTCACATACACTAGAACCTATCGCGGTGGCAACGACTGTTTTTCCTTCTACTGCGGTTCTAACATCAAATCAGACCGAGGATCACATGAGTCAGTCTTCAGATGAAGAATGACAGGTTTACACTTCCCTGCGAAAGAAAATGACTGAGGACACACTCCAACTTGGAAACTTAATGGATGATGCTTTAGTTACTCTTGACAATAGCACGACTCTTCAAAGTTTGTTATCTGACTCCGCTCCTAAAAATAGAGAAAGAGGCAGGACTAAACTGCCTCGTCCCTAACTACTTGTTTTCTGCATGTTTTAAATTTGTTTTACTTTTTATTGAGTCTATCTGTATCTTTTTGTTAGAGTATTAATGTACTTTTATCGTATAGGCAGGGAGCCTTTTTTGGGCTCTCTCATACAACATTTTTGTATTTTTTCTATTTCAATAATATCAACGCCTCATGGCGATTCCCGACGGTGATTTTATCAGGTTTAACTTCCTCATTTCTCTTTTGCGTCTCTCGAAAGACGTCTTCACGCAGCTGCAGCTTCTGTCTTTCCTATTT